CTTAATATTCCTGTAGTAGCTACCTAAGTGTCTATATCTACACAATTTTCAAAGTTCGGGTATTCAAAATTGTTTTCTTGAATGTTTAAAAAAGTAGAAGAATTTTGTACTGTAGTGAGAAATCCCGCATGAGAAAAACAATTTTTTATAATTTCTGCTGTTATTTCATTCCACGATTGAGTTAACAACAAAATAGCTGACAAAATAGATGGTACCGACTGTAATTAGGTAGGCAACGTTTAGAGTACCTAATTTGAGTATTCCAATTTCCATTTTTCAGACACAACAATCAAAATACAAATTTGAAACTGACAAATATTGTTCACAGTTTTTGGACATAAAAATTAAAAAAAGCCCCATATTGGCTTTCTCTCTTCCCCAAAAAAGCATACGGCCATATATGAAACTGGTATAGGCACGCCCATGAAGACCAAACTCCGCTTTTGATAACGTCAAGAAATGAGTCGCAAGATCAAGACTGAGTACGCTAGGGTTGCTACTTTAACCCTCGTAGTATAGGGATTATTCATGTTTTTTGCATTTTTTAAAAAATAAATGCATTATTTTGAACCATGACCCTTTTTAGATTTTATAGGTTGTACGATTACGCATTTATACATGTGCATAAGTATATATTTCATAAACATTGTTCAAACAAGCCCAAAATGCCCGAGGAGTCGGAGTGACACCGGAGATCACCATAGATAATAAAGAAATGAATAGGCCATCAGACTCTTTTCGGTATTCCAAAACTGATAAGAAAGTGAGGTGATTTTTTTTTATTCCAGTGAAAATATTTTGTTTTTCAAGAGAAAAAATTTGAAATTTTTATTTTTATTATTGCTATTATTTTATAATTGTTCGATGTTAATCGAACACTTGAACTGGTTAATTATTATTGTATTTTTTTTAATAAGGTTATATAATAATATGTAATAACTTATAGGTACTGTTTTTTTTTTTTAATGTTTCATCAAAAAATCGTTGTCCATTAGACATATTAGTTTAATGTCAATGAAAAAAAAAAAAAAATACAACTCTTACTTAAATTAATTTTATGATAAGCAATAATTATTAGGTAATCACTTTTGTAAGCTAAAATGAATTAATAACTAATTCTGTATTAAAGTACAATTTAAACATTTATTTAATAATACAAACAACATATTTCATATTATTTATTATTTCTATGTAATACGGTTAGTGTCTCATTGGTTTTTGAAAAGTATCAGTTTGTTATGCTTTGATCTTATTTTGGTCTGGTCGTTTTGTTTTTTAATTTCATGGAACAGCCTTATGCCCAAATATTTCTGACTTATTAACGTTGTCAATTGATCTTTATGTGTGTTTACAATAGTATGATTATCATCACAGCCCTTTAATTTAAAACTTATATTGTATTGAAATAAATTAATTTTAACCTGAGTAGTTAAAAACAAAACTGACTTTTTGTAATCTTTAATATTATAATAGCTTCTAAAAATTCTCTCCGTTTCTACAAATATTTTTACAACAGAATCGCTAGGCTTATACAGTCCCCCAAAGTACTTTTGACTGAGCAACATCTAATTTATGTTTAAGTTACTATCAGAAGTATTAATAAATAACATTTTCTTACAGTTTTCACAATTAATTTTTTTTTCAATTGATTTACTTACAAAACCAGCTATATAATAGCTTACAATTTCAACAAATAACCCAACTTGTGTTACATCTAAAAAATCATAATCAATACTTGTCTCATTGATTGATTGTTTTGAAACACTCAATTGTCTTGTATTGTCTAGTATTGTGCAGTTTCCATAAACAGAGCCAACTACTTGATTGTGGATTAAAATCCTTTTGTATGCTGCAGCGAATTGCCTACACGTAGGGTTGTTATTATATCCTCCTCGACTCCTTACAGCACTAAATGTAGTCTCTATATGGTCTTGCGAAAACTTATAGGTGAGCAAATATGTCATAGTATTTTTTGAAATTAAGAACTCAAATAGTTTTATTGAATTTATTAATCCTAAAATCAATCCCATAAAACCCGTTTTTCTGTTGGACTGTAAGACTTTTGTTATGCAAGGTTGTCCATTTTTTCATATTGAACAACTTCCAAACCTTTGATATAATTAGTGAAATTGTTGGTAAATTCTTTATAGAAATGTATTGTTTCTGCACATATTGGTTTATTAAACGGTTTATTTGAAAATTTTGATCTACTGTTCAAAATATCAAAAGCATTATTTATATAAGCAATAAATTCTGCAGTTGCTTCTATGTCACAAAACTCTGGTTCAAAATAGGTTTAAAAAATTAAGGCATCTGCAACACTTTGACTCATTGTTTGAGATGCAAGCCTAACATTCATTTTTTCATCAAAATATTGAATGTGTCTAAATGTTAACTTTGTTCCAGCCCAAACACCATTTTCACATTCATACTTGTACAATTTTTCAATATATTTCCATTTAATAATTTTCTTTTCAGCATTTCGAATATATTTAACCACAAGTTTAGATTCTCCATTAGAATTCCTTAGAAACTTTTTATCCCCACAAGAGTTACGAACCAACTTTAGCATATGTGCAGCATCTAAAAATACAAATATTGGTTCATTTGTAGATTTATTTAAAAAATAAGGCAATTTCTTATCAATATCAAAATTTGCTCCCAACGACTTAACCATGCTCATATTTACTGCAGCACCATCAAATGTCACCGACTGTAAATTAGCACCTGTTTCTGTTATAAGGGCAATGGCTGTTTCAAGAAGATTACTTCTTTCTGTGGCAGACAAACCATTAATAAAAAAATAACCGATTGGCAGCTTCCAATAGCCATTTATCCCAACTGGCAACTACTAAAAATATTAAGGCATTTTTAGCTTCAGGTTGTTCATCTCCATCTACATTCTTACATTGTATACCTAAATTCACATAACCATATACATTTCGTTGAGCACTCATTTCTGTTTGTTTTCTAATACTCATTTCGTCAACAACTAAATTACAGTATATTTTTCTTTGCTAGCAACATTTTTAATTGTATCCAAGGACTCTTTTGTGAATCCTGGTTGCATGGGCGTTCTCACGGGGGGGATATGGGGGATAGATCCCCCCCCAAGGATCTTTATTTTCTTACATTTTAGTAATACACGTTTTGTCTACTTTTGATATTATATGTTTGTGAATTGTGACAAGTTATTATTATTATTTTTTTTTTTTTTGATATTTTTTCTTTATCATGATTATTGATATATTATGATATTATGATAATAATAACAACACAGTGATAACAACTTACATTCATATTATCATTGGCGCAAATAGGGGGGGGGGCTTGGGGGACTTAGTCCCCCCAGATTTTGGTCAAGTCCCCCCAGTTCAAAATCTAGTAATTAGTACTAATTATTATATTCTGTAGTACTAAACATGTATATATTTTAAAAACTTAACCAAATTACAAAATACAATTATTGAAAAAAATTATTATTATGCTAGTTTTTTTTTAAATCTTTATAAAAAATCCTATAACATATCTTAGTCCGTGCCTCGTGGTCAAACAGATAATTGATAACCGATAAGTAATTTATAGGTGATAAATAGGGCTCGGATTTCAATATGCATTTGCATCTTTTTTTTTGGGATATCTTACGCGATGCTTTCCAAGCTACAAATATGTTTCAAGTACTTCGCAATCCAACCATAATAATTTTTTGGGCAATTTTTTTTTTGTTTTTTTTTTGCATTTTTAGAGGATTTCATCATTTTAAGAGCATTTTTTGACGGTTTAAATGCATTTTTTAATATTTTAGGACATTTTTGACCTATTTGTCGTATTATGACTAAAAAAATTGACCTCATTGAAATATAAGTACTACATAGTAATATAGTACTACGTAATAAAAATTATTTTCATTTTGAACTATTTTAACTAATTTAACATCAGGTTTTCCGGTTTTTACAACCTTTATGTCACACCATCCAATTAGCCGATATTATCGGATTATTTTCTTATCGAGCGATAATATATCGCTGATGCGCGTGGCCGATTGTCGGACGCTTTCAGTCGTGTTGCGTATTACGTCGAAGGTACTTACTTTGTTCATCATTTTTTTAATAATAATTAAATATGAATTTATTTAATAAATAATGCATTTTTTGAAACGTCATTTTTTGATATTTTTAGGGCATTTTTTAGAGTTTTTAGGTCATAAATGCATTTTTTGAAAGGGCATTTTTTTGATATTTTTAGGGCATTTAAATCCGAGCCCTAGTGATAAACTATGAGGGCTGTGTCACGATCACGGCTATAGTATCTATAGCCAAAGAATAATGCTGTGGTTGCTGTTGACCTCCACAATTGACGGTTGACGCGCCAATTTTTGAACGGAGCATTTTGTTATCATTAATAATTATTATTTGTTACCACGGTCCACGGACTAAGATATATATGTTTATTACTTACTTGTTAGGTTATATTTTAATATTTATTGGAATAAGGGATTTATCTAATAATATAAATACAGAAGATATTTTAAATGTATTTGCCGAAAAAGAACGGAGAATTTTGTTAAAATAAATATATTCCAAAAATGTAATACTTTGTATTTTTATATATCCGTAACGATAGTTGCTCAGTGGGTGGGGGATTTTATGGAGAGCGTTTCCCTCCAACATTTGTTTTACTTATATTAAGACCTTTGTGGAGGGGGGCTTGAGTCCCCCCAAAAAATTTAGTCAATTTGCGCCTATGCATATTATCATTATGTGCATTATGCATATGCTATTATGCTATTTATACTCTATGTGTTAACCAAAGTGTGGTTCGTTATTATCGTTAATCCGTATTATGTGATATCATTTTTCGGCTGGTTATTTACAATTTGTTAACATAAACGTTTTCGTATTTTTTCAATTAAAAAGTGACAATTCACAATAATTGTGTTCTGACGACCTGACGTTCTATTATATTCTATCGATTGTACGAATATTGTTTGATTTATTATAATGAAAAGAAATAGTAGTGGTATTTTAAATTTTTTCTCGAAAAAAAAAGCTGTCGATTCTACTTCTACTATTACTACAAGTGAACCTATCGAAAATGACAATACTGATAATCAACAGGTAAAAACTAAAATTCCATTATGTCATCAATAATTTGTATTTGTATTATTTGCATTATTTATATTTGATTAAACATCTGCTAGGTTACACAGCAATGTAGTTCAGAATGTTTAGATAGCACAGTCAATGATATTGCTTTATTTATTAACCGTAGTTTGTCAGATAGTGAAAAAAATATAGTAAGTATTATAAAAATATTGGACTACATATTATAAGTTGCAACTTGCAATATAAAATATACTGATTGTCTGCTTGAATGCTTCATATAGGTGTTAACCAGCTTATGGGTGCCGCCAAATACTTACAATTTTCCTCTATTAGAAATAAATAAAAAAAGAGGACTTAAATTTCAGCACAAATGGCTTCAATCTTTTTCTTGGCTATGCTACTCTGAGAAATTTAATGGTGCATTTTGTAAATATTGTGTGCTTTTTGCTTCTCGCGGTGGTATTGGATCTCAACCACTTGGGTTTTTTGTAATAAAACCATTTCAAAACTGGAAGAAATCTATAGAAGTAAATTATTTATATTATCTAACTATCCTATAATATGTGGTCATTAATTAATTTGGAAAATAATGTTTAGATGTTTTCCAACCATAGCACATTGGAATACCATAGAACTTCTATTTTAAAAGCTGATCATTTTTTAACCATTTTTCTTAAGAATAAACCATCAATCATTGATCAACTGGATGATAATAGGTATGCTAAATGCTTACCTTCATTTATAAATAACTTGTATAAAATTAATTGGGTGTATTCGGTTTTTTTTTTTTAATATTTAGAATTAAACAAAAGAAGTTAAACAGATTAAAATTGACTCCTATTATCGATTGCATTGTTCTTTGTGGAAGACAAGAAATAGCTCTCCGTGGACACAGAGACTCTGGCTCTATTAATTTTAGTGGTAAGCCACAACCATATGTTTCAAATGCCTAAATAACACTAACACTGTATATATTTTATAAAATAATTTAAATTTAATTTTTTATTTAGGTGAACCTCATGACAATAATGAGGGAAATTTCCGTGCTATATTTAAATATAAAGCTAAAGACCTAGACTACTTGAAAGAACATTTAGAATCAGATTTTCAATACAAATATATAAGTCCCAAAATACAAAACGAAATTATTTCTATCAGTGGAGATATAATACTAGGAGATTGTAAAACTTGTAAATAAGGCTGAATGTTTTTCTATATTGGCAGATGAAACAACTGATGTGTCACTAAACGAGCAACTAACATTATGTGTTCGATATATTAAGGGTGACGGTGATGGTGTTGAAATTCATGAAAGTTTTTTAAAATATGTTGAAATAAGTAGTTTAACTGGAAATGATGTGGCTTGTGCAATACTTGAAGGTATCTTGATAATTAAATTTATTTGAATTTTTAGTTGTGTACCTATAGGTAACTAAATCAAAATATATTTTGTTAACTATTTACCAGGCTTAAAATCTTGTGGTATTGACTGTTCAAAAATGTGTGGCCAAGGATATGATGGTGCTGCTAATATGTCAGGAAAATTTAAAGGAGTACAAACAGTGATAAGAAATGTTTACCCAAGGGCTTTATATGTGCATTGTGCTGCCCACTCTTTGAATTTAGCAGTGTCATCATCTTGTGAACTTCAGTCTGTTAGGAATTGTTTGGGTTTATTGCAAAAAATGCATTGTTTTTTCAACACTCCTAAGAGGAACAATGTACTTTTGGAAATGATTGCTAAAAGTGACTTAACCCCTTCTGCCAAGTCACTCAAACAACTGTGTGCTACACGATGGGTAGAGAGATACACGGCAGTTAATGATTTTATTGAACTCTTTACATGTGTTGTAGATGCATTAGATGAAATATCATGTACTTTTAATGACATTTCTTCGACAACTGATGCAGGTATATTAAAAAGGGCGATGGACTCAGAATTTTTCATTGCGCTACAAGTCGTTAAGGTAATTTAAAATAATTATTTTATATTTTTATAATTTTATATAACACAATTTTTAAATCAAAATAAGTGTACTATATATTACTATATTACTATATTATATACTATATAGGTATATTATTATTAATGATTAAAATGAAATATAAATTAATAATACCATTACTTCCAGGTGATGTTTTCATATGGATTACCATTGTGTAAATATTTACAAAAAAGTAATATTGATCTTAAGGAAGCTGTAGAGTTAGCTGAGCCTAATATATCAGTACTTGAAGAATTTAGGACAAATATTAAAAAAGAATTTAAACTTATGTTTAAAGAAGCAGAAGTAATTATCAAACAAAATCTTGCAATTTCAAATTTTTGTTTAAAACATTTGCTTTATTTTTATTGTTATATTTTTATGCTTTGTTTTATTAGAAAATGGCTTTGGTTCTGGACATGAATATAACTGTAAAACGGTTAAATAAAAGACAACAGAACCGTGCAAATCCATTTTCAGACGTGGGATCGGTTAGTCCAGAAGATTATTATAGAATAACAATAGCAATTCCTTATATTGAATCATTTATAAGTAATTTAAAGGAACGATTTCTTGTGCATAAAAATATTTTTGAAGGTCAGTATTATTTAATTTATAATTATTAAATGAAAATGTGAAAAATGATATTGATTAATTATTTGGTATCTTATTCAATATTTTTTTAATTTAGGTTTCCAGTGTTTATTTTCAAATGAAATTGAACAAGAATCATTTGAAAAACTTGTCAAATTTTACCTTGACACAGATGTTCATATAGTTATTGCTGAACTGAAAATATGGCAGTCAAAGTTAAGGAAAATTGATAAATTTCCTAAAACGGCTATAGATGCATTACGTTTATGTAATTTTGAAATTTTCCCTAACATCTACCAACTTTTCAAAATACTATGCACCTTGCCGGTCTCTACCTCGACTCCAGAAAGAACATTTTCATGTTTGAAAAGACTTAAGACCTATCTGAGAAACACAATGACTGAAGTAAATAGAAAATTTATTATAACCATATTTAATTATTTTTGTTATATTATGATTATATTTTCTAGGACCGTCTTAATGGACTAACGTTGTTGGCCATTCATAAAGATGTGCCTGTTGATTCAGAAAAAGTTCTTGACATTATGTCCGAAAAATCGAGAAAAATCAATATTTTAATTTGAATTAAACATAAAATTAATAATCAAAATATATTATTTAAACTGATTTATAAAATTGTTTTATATTTTAAATAAAAAGTAAAATAAAATATCCTATAAATATCCTATAAACTGACCAGTTACAGAAGTAGTTAGTAGTGTAAAACGGTAAAGAGAATGGATAGAGATCATGGACTGAAAGTTGAAAGTATTGTGTTTTGAAATGTTTGGTAAATTATTATGGTTTTAAAATGATTATTAAAGTATGAATGTTGAAAAGCTAGGTTTTTGGTTGCATTGTTTTACACATAATAACACACAATTTGTAAATATTATGACTACGGGGGGTGTGGGGGCAGAGCCCCCCACTATTAAATTCAAGTAAATTTTCAGACCCCCCCCCCCATAGAAAAATCCTGAGAACGCCACTGCGGCTGGTTGGCCGTTTACTACCATTTACCATGACCTTAATGTTCTAGGGTGCGGCAATAAATTGTTACATTTTTTACGGACATATAAATAAGCTTTCGGGGAGTAGTATTGAAGGGTAACTGAAAACTGTTTGATTTCTTCAGAATATGGTGCTTTAGTTTTCTTTTTTAAATTTTCACAAATAATTTGCCGAAGAATCTCGGAGCCTAAAGCCTGTAAGTATATTTAAAATAAAAACACAATTTGAGTGAAGTTAGATTTTGTCAGAAACCATTGAACAAGTGCAATGGCGGCGATGTACCAAAAACTTTATGTTGCCAACTAGACCCAATTAGTTTAACCACCCACCACCTACCACATATACACATTTTTTCTTAATTAATCATATAGTATTTGTAGCAGATAATTTTTACTTAATTGTACTAATTTGATGAATGATGTTTATATTAACTAAGGCTGGGAAAAATTAAAAATTAATTAACCTACCTCTAAGAGTTGTAACTTGTAAGCAGGACTGCAGGAGTGCAGAGTTACAAAATTATACTAATAAACAATTTAATTTTAACAATTTTAATGTGTACATTAAACATATTAAATAAATATGTAAATACATTATAATAAATAATAATATAGGTTTATTAATATTATTGTTTAAAAATTAATTATTAATATAGAAGTGCTTTTGATAGTTCCGAATTTTTATTGGCAAAATTATTGATAACATTTTCAACATTTGGTACACAATCCTTTTCACATGTAATTTTTAAAAGGCTTTTCCAAACGTTCTTCTTTCATTGTGGTTCTTAACTTGGTTTTTACAAGCTTCAATTTAGAAAAAGACCTTTCTACAGAACAACATGAAACTGGTAGTGTTACCGCAATATGAAGTAAAGTGTTTAAGTTTGGAAAAACAGTTTTTAACTGAGATGCACAAAATAGTTTAAATAATTTTCCCATACTTCCTACATTTTCTAAATTTCTGGTCACAAATACAGGTTGGTTTTCAATTTTATCTTGTTCTACAGTTTCAAATATATAGTCAAAACCATCTTCATAATCACTTTCATCGCTTTCAGACTCCTTATTGTGCAAATATTCGGGTAGTAATATGGATTTTTCCAGTTCTAAGAAATTAGAACAAAACTGTTGATATTCGTTCACTAAATCATCATATTGTAAAAATGTTGAATACAGTTCACAAACAATTTTAAAAGCATCTTTTGGTAGAGAATTTGGAGAATTTTTTACTTCCAAAATTCTTTTTTTAGATAGAAGAGAAATATCTTTTAATAACTCTGCTTCATCATTTCCAAACCTGTCATTTAACTCATTTTTTATTATATCTAAAGCACCATAATAGCATTCAACTTTGAACCTTGTTATGAGGTCTGTAATTGGTTCATCCCTTTGAAGTTCCCCAGACAATTTTGGAACACGTCTACGTCTAGGTGTAGGAAGTGCCACAAATTCAATATCAATCGTTTCAGAAAAATTTTCAGCTGCTAATAATACTTCAGAAAAAGAATCTGTATCTCTACAATTTATCATACAAATTTTGTGTTTGGCATTTTCGATTAAAACCACAGCTGCCATCAAATCAAGATCTTTTGCTTGTAGAAGTTTATTAACTGGCTCAAGAATTCGAAATATTTTTTGAAAAACAAATGCTGTGATTAAAAATCGATAAGATGTAAAATAATCTAAGAGTCCACTAGCTGTCGCACCAGTTTTAGCATCACCAGTTCCTTCATATTTTTGAATATATTTCAATGCATCAATTATTGGTTCGTACGTTTTTAAAACTGTGTCTAATGATGTTGAATGTGAAGACCACCTAGTAGTACTTACACGTTTTAAAGCCATGAGTTGATACTTTTCTGAATTATTGTTATGTTTTTCTTGAAATTGTCTAAAGAGAGCAACTCTTTTTTTTGCACACCAAATAAATGAATATAATGTCTCCAGATTACCAAATAAGTTTACAGAATCGACACTTGACGAAACTAATTCTTTTACAACGAGATTTAACCTGTGAGCGTGACACCACACAAATGTTGCATGTTTATTTTTTGCTTTAACTAAAGCTTGCAGACCGTTATACATACCACGCATATTTGACGCACCGTCATACGATTGTCCAACCAAATCACTGATCCAGTCAATGTTATACTTTTCCATTACATTTATGAACAAACTGTAGAGATCATTACCACAAGTATTGGGAGATTCTCGTATGGCTAATAACCTTTCAAAAATAGAACCAGTATTATGACAAACATATCGGATAATAAATGATACTTGTTCTTTTCGTGACGTGTCAAATGTAGAATCGATTGCAATGCTAAACAATTTTGATTGTTTTACATTTGTCTGAATTTGTGATGCAATTGAGCAATGGAGTCAATTAATTGGTTTTGTCTTTCCCAGCTAACAAATGACAATTCTTTTTTCCCTTTAGATTGCAATTTTGTAACATGCTCTGCAAGAGAACCAGAATGCTTTGACATTAATAAAACCAAATCTTTAAAATTTCCTTTTGATAACTCATTAGACCATTTTTCATTATGACCCCGAAATCCTAAATTATGTTGAGCTAGAAAAATTACAATTGAAATGAGTTCAGAAACTATTTGTCTGTTCATAGATATTTGACATTTACGTTTATGTTCCATACTAGGCAACAACGGTAAACATTTTGTTCTCGTTTTAACTTTAATTGTAGAAGTTATATGAGAAATTGAAACTTCGTGGTTTATTATTCGAGAGTCACCATTAACCCAAGTTGAAAATCCATCTTTAGTCCATGATTTTAATGCCATGCCATGTATGTTGATGCCATATAATAAACAGTGAATACAAAATACTTTGTCTGTACTCAAAGAGTAAGACAACCAATCACGAATAACTTTAGTAATATCTGGAATAGTTCTGTAATACCACAAGTGATTGAAGTGACGTCCATATTTATCCTTACGATACATTTTTCCAGGAACATCTTCAGGTAAAGGTTGGCATGGACCTAGCTCTAAAATATAATTTTTTTGTTCGGGAGTGATGGAGTTCATATTAACAAATTGGATAGGATCATTTTTTTAGTCCTATAACAATAGCACGTTGAGTTAAGTCAGCAGTCGATGTAGACGGTTGTACATTTGATTTTTCATTATATGTTAGCAATGCATCATTTTCTAAAAATATATAATAGAGACATGTTTAAAATTATGAAATTAATACTATGAATTCAATTCAATATTAAACAAAGATTTTTAGTTGGGTCAATATCAAATTATAACGTAAAATATTGTTTTAATTTATTAAGTTATAAGAATCCATGTAATTTAAACAATTGTAAAATGTACCTGCTAAACCAACATTACTAGCGTCACCATCTTCATTTAATTTGATAGGGTCTTGTTCCTTGTTTTGTTCTAGGTTTATTTCTGTAACATAAAAGAAAAGAAAATAGAAATAATCAAGTATTAGTCAATATAACTATATTAAATAATAAACTGTCAATAATTACCAGTCAAAACTAAATAAGAATTTTGTCCATCAAGATTTTCATTAACCGTCTTATGTAAATGTTCCAAGTCTTCTTAAAATAATAAATACAAATAGTATATAGCTAGATAGTTAAATAATATTCAATGTAATTTATGAAATATAAAAATATAAAATTTATTTTTAAATTTGATAAATAATAAAAAAAAATATACTTAAACAATTATATGAAGTACCTGCTAAACCAACGTTACTAGCATCGCCATCTTCATTTAATTTGATTGGGTCTTGTTCTTGAAAATCAAGATTTTTATTAATCGGCTTATGTAAATTTCCCAAGTCTTAAAATAAAAAAAAAATAGTATAAAACTAATTTAACCTAACCAAAATTTAAGCAATAAAATTATACTTATAATGTATTACAGTATTAGGTATTATAATTATAGCAAATAATAAACGGTTGGAGTGAATTTTATAAGTTTAAACAAGTAGAAAGATTAAAACTAATAAGTAAGATAATCATTATTATTATATTGTTAAGTAGCTCGTTGACACGTTAGTCTAATTTAATCTATTTTCTATGTATAAAATTGATTTTTGTGATTATGTAGGTATTCAATAAAAATTAAAAATAACTATTAATTTATAAATAATGGTTAAACTTAAGTTGATAATAATTAATCAAAGTTTAAAAATGTGAAATGCATAAAATAGTTTTAAAAGTGTAACGTAAATACCTAGCATATCACAACTTTTAACACTTAATACATAATATTATCTAATAATTGATTGACATCAGTTCTCACTTCTCTGAATTGACTGAATTTGATTAATATAGTAATGCATTAATGCAACAAAAAAATTTTTGCTAAAAAGTGTTTAAAAAATTAGAAGCAATAGTTGTGCAGACTGCAGACTAACTAGTAGAGATACAAAACATTTACATGCATACATGATTATAAATTAAAATGTATTATTATTATAATATTTTATAAATTACATAGTTAAATATTATAATAATTTACCCAGATTTATTGAGGAGATTATATTTGTTGTTGAAAAGAATTTTTTTATGTTGCTGGTTGTTGTACTGATAGATTTCCTTTTCATGCTACATGCCTTCAGGTGTCTAAGCCAATTGGTCTGGTTTAAATTGCCTTTACTCTTACCACAAGTACATAATATCTCTTTATCCATCGTGAATAAATCAATAATTATTAATTAAGGCCCCCGGTGCCGGCTATTTATTAAGGAGCAAATTATTGGCAACCTAATTCACTTATCGTCTTGATGTCGCATGATATTGTGTGTATGTAGTAGTGTAAATGATTATTAGTGTGAGTGAATCCCTTCTCCTACCCGTCTACCATCTAACCGAACAGGTTTATTACCTACGATCACGGCTCGCTGTACCGGAAGCTCTATTTATAAACATCACATAAATTTACCAATACACTAAATTATTATAATTATCTTGATAATTTTATTTACAAATAACAACATAAACATATTATATTACTGTCAATGAGTACGCGGTGCCATATGGGTTGTTGTTTGTTGGTTACACCTACACCGTTACTTGTCTTATTCTAAGTGATTTACCTATATAATATAATTTATTATTGATAAATAAATAATGAACAAAAAATATGGAATAAAATCTAAAACGGTTGCAGCTTATAGGAAAAAATAAGGAGGAAAAATCGCACGGTAAGTAAAAACTGTAAATGCTAAAATATATATTTTATTATAGATTTATAGACTCAAGTTAAAAATATTGTAAATATTAAACTATAAACTAATCTATTAAGTAATTTATTCTATTTATGATTGTACAATTATAATTTTAGAATCTGATGAATGTCTTGATTTTACAATGATAATATATTAATATGTGTTTTTTATTAATTTATTTTATTATATTTTTTTATTTTTTTGTCTGTAACCACCTTCTTCAGGACAGTAAAAATTTTTAGATTACATAATAGTATCTTTTATGATAGGAAAATAACTCTAGTTGGTTCTTTAGTACAATAGTACAGTAGTTTTCCAAAGCGCCGTGAAACATTATAGAACATTTAAGACACCCGGTGCCAATGTGAATTTTTGCGCAAAAACGATTTTTGTTTTAAACACAACCGTAGATTTATATAAGCATTTTCTACATTCCATAACATTTTCAAAATATTTTGACTTATTTTTAGCGACTTACGGACATTTTCAATCACCAATTTTTTTAGTTTTTATTTTTATAAATATCAATAAAATTTTATTTATTGGGTAAAAAATTTTGAAAATTTGAAGGAAGGCTGCTAATGTATTGTTTAAAAGGCAGATGAAAAATATTAAAAATGGGTGTAATCAGAATTTTTTTTATATGTATTTAAAGTTCAAATTTTGACAAATTACGTAAAAATGACGAAAATTTGCAAATCATTTTGAGTTAGAAATTCATAAAAAATTTTCTTTTTAGATCTAAGATTTTAAGACATAATACAAGATTTATCATAAGTTTGTTTATTTTTATTAAAAAAAAATATATCTAAAAGCAAGTCAAATTAAATTTTTATGAGCGTTTAAAGTTCATATTTTTACAACACGGATATTCACTCGATTTCTCATGTAGCGATTTTCTTATTTTGTTGTAATTCAATAACCAAATAACCTTAAATGCATGAAAATTTCACTGAATGTTTATAATCTCAATTTCTATACACCATACAATTTTGAAAATATATAATTCGTTTTAAGGTTCTTACGGACAAATCCAAATTTTATTTTTTTCAGGTTTTTTTAGTAAATACTTTTAATAAAGTTTATATATATTTATATTTTATATATTGTTTTGTAGTAAATTGACTACAATTAGCTCATCTAAAGAAGCGTGTTCCTCAAATAAGGACACATCTGTTCAAGAAACTCCAAAATCAAATATATTATTTGATAATGGTGTACCTTCAACTAGTCAAGAAGTAACAGGACAATTATTATATGAAACTAACTCCAACATTGAAGAAGAAAAGTAAATATTTATTTTTCGTTTAAAATTACATTTCTTGATACTTGTATCACTTTAGTAATTTTTATATTTAGATCAATCTTAGATGGCCGTCGTATAATTAATATTGCCTATTTTTTTGAAAAAATATCAAAAATTAATCATCAACCGTTTGACTGTACTTTTAATAATTTGGTATTTGTCGGTGAGAAGAGAAATGGTTTGTATAGTGAATATATCTTCAATTGTGCTATGTGTCGGAAACAAGAAATTATTGAATCTGAAGATCCCAGTATGTCAATCATGGACGTTAATACAGCAGCTGTTACAGCATCAGTAAATTCAGGACAAGGTTATGTACAATTAGAAATATTCTCTGCTTTATTGAATATGCCAAGTATGAGCAATAAATTGTACCAAAAAATACATGAAAAAGTTGAACAATTTACACATAATACTGCTTGGGAATCAATGTCTTCTGCAGCCGAAGAGGAGGCTAAATTAGCTATAGATAATGGAGATGTAAATGAAAATGGAGTGCCTATGATCACAGTTATAGCTGATGGTGCTTGGTCCAAAAGAAGTTATAGAACAAACTATAATGCATTATCTGGTGTTGTAAGTACAAAATATTATATTATACATAAACTTCTATATTAGATTTTATTATTAATTATTTTATAGTTAGTTTATTAGATTCTAAGCAAAGCGATAAATGTTTTGACTGTACAATAATGTAAAAATATGAACATTAAACGCTCATAAAATGTAATTTGATTTTCTTGTAGACATTTTTTTAAAACTAATAATTTGCACATTTTCGTGATTTTTACGTATTTCGTCAAGATTTGAACTTTAAATGCTTATAAAAAAAAACTGTTCTCCGTTTTTTCTTGATCTTTTTTTCGTTTTTCCCGGTGCTTTTGTAAACTAAGTAGTATTTCGACTAATTATCATCTGAACTGACACAAATAAAAAACATAAATTGTTGCTCCACTCAGAATCTAAAAATGTTTACCGGAAAGTTGCATTAATTTTTTATGAGGTGACTAAAAATTGGATATTCACCAGTAATTCATTTTTTATGTAATTTTTTTATATAGGGCTGTATTGTTGGTGCTAAAACTAAAAAAGTCCTTTTTTTGGGCATTAGAAACAAATATTGTTCAATATGCATAAGACCCCCAAAATACCTCAATGAACCTACTCTAAGTCACCAGTGCTATAAAAATTGGGATGGTACATCAACTGGTATGGAGTCTGATATAATTCTTGAAGGGTTCAAACAAAGTATTGCTATGCACAATATAATATACCACAAGTTAATTGGTGACGGTGATAGCTCCGTTACAAAAAAATTGAGTATAGCAAATCCTTATGGTCCAAACTGTAAAATAAAGAAAATTGAATGTAAAAATCATATATTGAGGAACTACATGAATAGAGTAACTGAAATAGCAGGAAAAAAAAAATGCTCCAGTGGTACAGTTGTACCGGGAGCTCTGAGACAGTTATTAAAACACAATAAACTTAGACTACGGTATTTATACTATATAATACATTACAATATACAATTATTTACTTATAATTGAAAATAGATTTATTAAATTAATTTTATTAATTTTATTTAGGTATGGAATTACTAAAGCTATTGAGCACTGAAAAAAAGTTGACAACCTAACCATTGACCAAAAATCTAAATTTTTAAAAAGAGATATAGATAATGGACCGTATCATGTATTTGGTTGTCATGACAAGTGTGACTCGTCAGTAAAAAATATGTTAAAAATATATACCTAAGATTTAAATTATTTAAATTTTAAACATGGTTTTCAGATATTTTTGTAAACCTGAAGCTAATGCCCAAAACCATGTTCCGGAAATGGTGGAATGTGGCTTATGGCAAGACATTATTGCAGCCAAAAATCTAGTAGCTTATCATGCAGATAGTTTAATTTATGATGTTAACAACAATTATGTAGAATCGTATAATAGTGTAGTTGCAAAATTCGTGGGGGGGAAAGAATAAACTATTCTTTGAGAGGTAATAATTATATAAAAAGCTTTACATAGTTTAGGTAATCTGTATTTGATATATTATAAACCAAATGTATAGGTTCTTATAATACAAGATGTATGACAGTGGTGTCGTCTTTTAATTTTGGTCCTGATTACATACGTAAACTTCATAAAACTGCTACTAAAGAAAGTTCAGGAAAGTTTACAAAATTATATATACGAAAATTGCAAAAAGATAAATATAACAGGCAGCAAAACAGTATAAAATCTAAGCTCATCTTCGGACCATCTACCGGGTAATTATACTTTAAAATTATTTTCTTCCCATTTAAAATATTTCCCTTATTTATGATACCTAATATTTTTTTAGTTCACAAACTAATAAATTGAAACCATTTTCTGGACCTGATAAAGACTACGGAGATCTTTGCAATGAGCTGGGTTGCGGTGAACTGCCGATTTCACAGGAAGATTTAGAACAAAGACAAATTACTATTTTAAATAACTTAAAGCTGAGTGTCCAGGAAATCAATTTATTAGAAAGAAAAACAATAGATCAAGCTAAAAGCGATGATTGGCATAGAGAACGAAAACACCGCCTCACTGCTTCAAATTTCGGTCGAGTATGTAAACTAAGAAGCAATACTCCAAGGATAAATACAATTAAATATATTTTATACAGTGAAGTATTTACACCAAAAACAGCAGCAATGACGTAAGACTATTTAATATTCAAATAAAATTAATTAACTGTTAAAATGTCTAATTGTTTTTTATTAGTTATGGCATTCAATATGAACCAATGGCAAAAGAGGAATTTGAAATAAAATATAATTTAAAAGTTCTACCAGCAGGTCTATTTGTAGATGCAGAGTAAAATTTTTTGGCGGGTTCTCCAGATGGATTAGTGGGAGATAATGATATTGTGGAAATTAAATGTCCGCATAGTATTAAAGACATGACCCCCCAAGAAGGATTATTAGCGAATAAAATAAAATTTCTCATAAATGATCAAGATGGAAACATGCAATTGAAAAAAAATGATAATTATTACTATCAAGTCCAGGGTCAACTTCGGGTGGCCAATAAAAGTTCGTGTTATTTTATAGTATGGACCCCGAAAGGTAAAATTTTATAATTTGTATTTAATATTTACAATATTTACAAATAATTAAAAAACGTTAATAACTATTGTATAATAAATCGATATAATACTCTTTTTACAGATATTTTTGTTGAAAAAATAGAACGCGATACTGAGTTTTGGAAAAATAAAATGGAAACTCAACTTGTTGATTTTTATAAAAATCATTTGTTGAAAGAAATAGTGAACCCTGAGATATTACGTTAAAAACAATTTATGTACTTACCATAAATTATTATTATTATTTTTTAGCTATTAGAGTAATATTTTTATTTTATAAATTATATAATATGTATAGGTACCATCGAACTAAGTTTAATAATTATATGAATACATATAATATATAATATTATAATTAAATTATATCTTATATTCATTTTATGTACCTATATGCATTTTTTTTTAAACTATATGTAAAACATAATACCCAAACAATACACATTTTTTAAATAATAAAATATGCAAGTTGTAATAATTGGTAGTCACGGCAGAAAACTAATCCAAATAGGCCCGACCTGTGCGCTGACAATACCAAATAACAATAATATTTAATCAATTCTGTAGAAATAAATAATAATAGATAGGTAGTAAGTTATTTTTATACGCGGTATACATGTTCTGGTGTGCGGTGATTGCTGAGTAGAGCGGGAGTACATGTGCAACGCGCACGCACTCGCAGGTACATGTCATTAACGAACAAATAACGAAATATTTAGTTGTCCGTTTCGGGTGTTTCAGCGGACAAAAATGACTTTACGGGAATATGGATAACTCGATGACAACTGAATATTTTCAGGTAATTTTTTTTTAATTGATGAGCAACAATATTCTACAGCCCGCATCGAACTCGGATTTTGTATTTTATTTTAAATAATAGTATAAAAAAATTTATAAAAAAAGCTAAAAATTGTCTTTTTTTTAAAGACTTATAATTAAGTTTGAGATAAAAATATCGAAAAAAGGAGCTCGATGCGGGCTGTAGAATATTCTCCTCTATTAATAAAAAAAAAATTATAAAATTTGGTTAACTCTACAGGGCAGGATCATTATTCCCGTAAACCGTGTTTTTGAGGACAAAATCACATTGGCACATTTGTTAACTATACAATTACAAATTTTGAATAACAATTTATTACTAAGAAGTAATAACTAATAACCAACAAGAAGTCAACAGAAAGAAATCAGTGAACACTTAAAAATTCTTTGACGGATAAGTTAAAAATAGCTCATTGATACCATAGATATTAAAGATATTCTTTAATATCTATGATTGATGCCATCCACATTTCTGATATCATTATCATAAACAACAAACGTCGATATTAATATATATTAGGAAATTCCTGGGTCTCATATAAGACCGTGGGTAAGTCCATAAAGCCAGTGGGTATGCCATTGATATTTTTGTTTTACTCCGTGGTATATAAGTACCTATATAACACGGCTTTATATTATAATTTGATTTTATCTAATATTTTTGTTAAGGGGAATCCCGCTTTGGCCGTGTTGTATAATGTACCCGTTGCAAACAAACAAAAGAACATTAAATAACAGCTTTACTCTTTAGTAATATTGGTGTCACTATTCACCACTGTACATAAATGAACATCATAATCAGTCATCAGATGTGCACAAATATTATATATTTGTTTTGTGTAACATTTGAAACATATATTCTAACCCGTCTACCCAACCAACCCACCCACCCACCTAAATATATTGTGTTGCGGTCGCAACAGATAGATATAGGGATCGGCGCCACTGAACAAGTGTATTTGTATTACTAGTTACATTTTAGGCATCCAGTAATAATTTTAATTAACTGATACACTTCAAATTTTATTAAATTAAATCAATAAAATATTTTTACTATATTTAACAAAATTACTATTAAATAACAACCTAACTATACTCTTTTTCAAAATTATAATAAATGTAGTTAGAGCCCACCCACTTAGTTGCGCCACTGATTAAGGGGACATTACAGTGACATTTTTTGTTGTCTCCATCTTACAGGTGCGTTACATAGCAAATTATGACTGATGTTGCAATGACAGGCTTTTTATTATATTTTAGTTTTAAAGCTAGTTATAAGTATTCTTTAAATCCAATAACCTCAATACTGAAACATTTAAATTAAAAAAAAAAATTTCTAAATATAAGGTTGTTGGTGAACATTATGTACAAGAGTCAAACTAATGTCACTTTCAACATCTTTATCATTGCTAGTAGACAAATTGTCATTATCCTCATTATCAATTGTATTAGAACATGTCTGATTGTCTTCTATATTTGAATGTGGTACAGCTCTTGTATTTAATTTACGTAACTTCAAAATGCCACTACTGAAGTCTTTCATTTTGAAATGGTTTGAGCATATTCTGTGCCAAGGATTTGCATTTTGTAACCCCAAGTTATGAAGCCAAATTTGTTTTCTTTCACTATCTTTAGGGAAACTAAAACGGCGAACAAAAATCTATTAGCATAAGTAAATAATACTAAAAAATTAAGGAAGTAATGCATCCAAATAAGAAACATACCAATGAAATGACAGTTCTGGATAACGATGAGAATTCTTATTGCAAAACAAACATTTTAAATTTAATTTTAAGTTTTTAAAATTGAAAGTAAAAACGCATTGAGGTTGAATAACAATTAATATTGATCACGATTCACGAAACTCATTTAAAAATGCACCTAATTGGTGATAACAAATCTGTGATAATTCGCCTCACTTGTGATAATTAGCCTCCCCTTTCACTCCCCTCCGGGAACACGGCCTCACTTGAGATAAGCATAGCCGTGTCCTAACCATTTATTTATTATCTATGGAGATCATTGCAATACTGTGTTATTGTGAACATGGTAATAGGTCGCGGTTTGCCTCTCTTCCGGCAACCGCCCAGACAGCTGTCTCCGTTGGCGTCGCCTCCGGCAGGGGGTAGTAAAAAAATACGTAAGTACGTAAGTACGTAACGGAACATCGAAAAATAGGATCATTAACTAGGATCTCTAACGTAGTTTAACCTTAAAAATGTAATATGTCCAAATTCCGATTTGATAACAACTGACATCGACATTCGAATCGTTTTTACGACTGTTTTAGTGTTTTGTAAAAGCGTTCTGTACTATTTTTCTGTTTTTAATTTTGAGCTGAATGTTGTATAAATCGTAAATCGTTTTCTACTTTTTTTGTACAATGGGTCGTGCTGCATACCGACGTTGTGTGATTCTACTAGTAAGTTTATTTGTAAATTACAATAAATACTTTTGGTACTCTTACAGTATGCTAGTATTCTTGTCTATTTCTTGTCAATTTATTATACCTAACTGATTAATAATATTAAAATGTATCAAACTAAAATTGGCTTGATGTATTGCTAATGCAAATGATGATCAGCGTTGACAATTGTTAAAAACAATCCAAGAATCCATGGCCCTTGAATTCGAGTAGTATTTTGGTAGGTAGCAAACTACAGGAGTACCATACTTTTTATTATCTGGTTTATTTGTACAATATTATTCCCACTGTAGGTAAATTCATTCATTGAAATCTAAATATCGATCAAATGTAGTATTAGTATAAAATAGTAAAATATCTTTTTTTTTTTTTGAACCGCGAACCAGGGAGGGAACTAGGTTTCCCCATTACTGCCTCCCTGGACGCATCATTTATTATAAATTAAATACACAACTACAATACAATACCAATGATTAACAGGCAAGTACATATGTTTCAATAACTGGGGGCCTCTAACCACCTTGAAGCGGCCGTTCAGCCCACAATAGAACAATGCTTAACTAATTAGTTATGTTGAGCCTTTGAGCACCTTGATCGCCGGCACGCTGCCGCTCCCTTTCTAGTTCCTCCTTGCGGCCCATTATCTCCTCCACCATTTGTGTAAACAGCTCCCTCCTCCGGTTGACTGCCGACACTAGTCTCCTCCTTGTTGGCTGGTCCTCCGGTAGCTCCGTAAGTGCTAATCTGCAAAGGACACCCACAACATCCTCAGGACGAGCAGGTCTGCCCAATGACTGCTCAAATGCTTTCCTCTCACCGCTCCAAAACATGCAGACGAACAGTGTGTGTGTTCAGCGTCATCATTGTCTGCGGGGCACAGTAGACAGACTGGGCTACGCGCTCTACCCCTTGTCCAGAGGTAATGCTGGAAGCACCCATGACCAGAAAGAGCCTGGGCCATGTGGAACGTAATCTGCCTCGGGCCATAGTGCCACCATCTGGACAGATCAGGAATCAACCTTTTTGTCCATGCCGCCTTGTCTTGGGTGGACTCCCAGAGGGCCTGCCAGTGTCGGATTGTGTCGGTTATGACATCGTTCTTACTGAGAATAGCTCCTGACTTCCTAACCTCCGCCGTCCTCTTCCTTCCAATTGCTTGCAGAAAAACCGGGGGCATCCTGGCTAGTACGAGCGAGGCCATACCAGAAACAGTGCGGTAACACCTGGCCACTCTTAACGCCGCACACTTCTGTGCCTGTAGAAGCACATTCTTGGTCTTCTGCGTTTCGAGAACGCGCTCTGACCATACTTCGGCACCATATAGTAGCCGGCTATGGACTACACTCTTTAGCAGCTGCCTCTTAGACTGAGATGGGCCCCCGACATTAGGCATGAGCCTCCCGAGAGCAGCTGCAGCCTTCCTTGCACCTGCCGCCACTGAAGTCACGTGGTCAACAAACGACAACCTAGTGTCCAGTCGGACACCCAGGTATCTGATCGCCCTCTGGATGGGGATCTGGCAGCCTTGAACATGCAATACGGGGGCGCGATAAGCCTTCTTATTTGTAAGGACCACACCCTCAGATTTTTCTGGGGCGAGGCTGAGACCATTGTCGGTCATCCACTCGACAATATCAACTAAAGTGGGGTTGACAAGTTGCTCGATCAGCTCAGGGTTCTGAGCTACCGCCACCACAGCCACATCATCAGCAAAAGCCACCAGCCTAACGCCCTTACGAACTGGCAGCCGCAGTACCGCATTACTACTTACATAAATATTTTTATTTTTTAGTACATATATTGACAAAGTTGGAGAATATAATATAAGGTGTTTTATAGCGGTGTTTTTAACGTCAGCCCAATTGAGAGTAAAAATTGTTGTGTTAAATTATTTACCGGTGATAATAAAAATGTACAAAATGAATTAGGAGTTGAGCCTCTAGGGGATAACATTCTTGATATTTCATCAAATGTTCTGATTGAGAGGTAACAATTATAATGAATTTATTATGTAAGCATTGTGGTAGTGTTTAGTAAGTACTTAGTTATTTTCTTAATTTTAGTATAGGTAGCTTTAAAAATTTGATTTTTATGCATAGGTATTCATAACCAAAGACAGAAAAAATTTAATCCAAGAATATAGAATTCTCTGTTGAAAATACTCGTTAATGGCTCATAAAGGATTATAATATTATGTATGGACATATTATTAAAAATATACCTTTTGAATCATTAACTTGTTTTTGATACTGAGAGATCTTCAACGTCTGAACAAAAATGTTAATTAACAACAACATGATATTAGATACATTTTATGTTGTGATTTTATAACTTTATGAGAATTGTTTTATTTGTGATTAGATGTTTATTTTATTCAATTATTTAAAATGGTGAATTTATAACCTTCCATATATTTGTGATGATTTAGAAAATTAGGTTATTTAATAATATTAACTATTGTATATTAGATTATTACTATATTTTGAGATTTTTTGTAAGTTATAAATTATAGTAACCTGCTTTATATCTGATTAGATATGTTTATTATATTTTTTTATTTGAATATAATATATAAATATATATTTGTACTTTTAATACATAGATTACAAAACGATTTAGAACAATGTAAAAAGAAAAATGAAATTCTATTAACAGAAAATAATAAATTAAGGACAACTGTTAAAACTTTAAAAGACCTTATGAACTTGGAAGATAACCGCTTTGAAAGCCGTTTTGGAAAGTTACTATCGAATTTGTTTACTTCTACTCAAATTAAATTTCTTCTTCATCCTACTAAAAAAATTTGTCGTTGGTTGCCTGAAGACATATCGTCGGCGATAACATTACGCAGTGTCTCTCCAAAAGCTTACCGCTATTTGAGAAATAAAAAAGGTTTCCCATTACCAGGTTAATGACCAATACTTTTAAATTTTATTATTTATCTATATACTAAAAATAGTTATGCATTCTAAGGTCCTTCCACGCTTAGAAGTTGGGCTTCAAAATTTTCTGTAGAACCAGGTCTTTTACATGGAGTGTTGTCATTAATGAAATATAAAGGTATTTTAATTTAATCTAAATTAATTAAACTAAATTAAATTAACATTACTATTCTATTCAAGGAGACACAATGGAAACCAATGACAAATTAACTATTTTGTGTTTTGATGAGACATATATATCAAAGAGAATATGCTTTGATAAAAAAAACGAACAAGTTATAGGCCCTCATAAATCTGTTCAAACAGTTATTGCACGAGGTAAATAAAATATAAAATGACTATAAAAATCAAATCTAGTTATCTAAAGTAATGCACCTGATAATAATTTTTCTTTAAAATAAAGGATTAATAAATAACTGGAAGCAACCAATATATTACAACTTCGATGAGCGGATGACTAAAGAAATATTAAATAAAATAATAGAAGAGTTAAGTGAAGTTGGTTTCAATGTAGTTGCAATAGTCAGTGACAGTGGTTCTACAAATGTAGGCTTATGGAAAAGTTTAGACATATCTATCAACAATACGTCATTTGAACATCCAAAACTAAATTCCAGAATTCATGTTTTTGCTGATGTTCCGCACTTATTGAAATTGGCTAGAAACCATTTACTCGATAGGTAAGAACTTCTGAATTCTGTAAAAGTAATATTTGTTTTAAGAAAATAATTCATATTTATAATAATTTAAGTGGGTTCATACTTCCAAATGGTAAATTCATCGGAAAAAATATACTCCACGAAGTTCTGAATATTAACTATGGTAAAGATTATAAATTTGCTCATAAGCTATCTGAGCGTCATCTTTTTGTAGAAGGATCAGGCCGCATGAACGTTAGATTAGCAGCAAATGTATTTTCTAATTCAGTTTCAAAAGCCATTGCGTACTGCGGTGAAAAAAACTGTCTAGATAAATATAACTGGAAAGAGGTGATTATATAAAAATAAAATACCTGTGTATAAATATTAATATTAATATTCATTTTTATATATAATGTAATTTAGGCTTCGGAAATTATACAATTATTTAATGACTGGTTTGATATTTTCAATACCCAGCATAAATTTGACAGAGGAGTTGCAAGTTATGGAATAAACATAGAAGATCAAGACATTTTAATAGATAAAATGAGTGAATTTATTAGTAGCATGAGAGTAAATGAAAAAAAATCATTACTTCCTTTTCAAAAAGGCTAGTACCTATTGAATACTTTTAAAAATAAATTAGGTGTATTTTAAATAAAATATTGTATTATGCTTTTATCTTGCTTTGTAGGTATTTTAATGTCAAATAAGTCATTGAAAAATTTATTAAATGATTTAAAAAACATTTATGGCATAGAATATATAATAGGAAGGAAACTAAACCAAGATGTGTTGGAAAATCTGTTTAGTTTCCTAAAAGGAATGTGTGGGTATGCAAGTAGTAACATTACTGCTTTAGATTTCAAATACAGGTATCTAATTAAATTGATGATCTAAGTTTTAAAATTATAATATATACTATATCCGTATACCAATTATTAGCAATTAGATTATAATATTTTATTTCAGCTTACGATGGTACATCTTGGGAAAACATTCTGACATCATATTTACTGAACATACCAATACTGAAGTTGGTCTCGAAACTAGCCTTTTGGATAGCAACGACTGCTTGGTTGGTCAAATGTTTAAAAGTTTAGATGTGTTAGAAACTAGTGTGACAGAATCCACTAATAATATTGTCCAAATTGAATCTAAAAATGAGGTGATGACAGGATCTATTTCAAAAACAAATTTAGATCTTTTAGAAAAGTTTGAAGTAAATAAATAAAATTACCAATTATGACTTATTACCTTATACATAACTTGGTACTTATTGACCTTAAACTATTATGCATGTGTTAACAGCTAGAAACTATAGAGCCATTTGATGATTTGGAAGAAGAATGTGTTGAATATGTAGGCGGATATATTGCAAATCGGTTTTATGTAAAATATCCATATCTAACTAATGAATCAAGTGATTCTAAAGTTATTGATAGATGGACTAAATTCATTTCAAAAGGAAACCTTAAAATACCTTCTGATGATCTTCTACATGCCATGAAAATAGTTGAAATAGACTTTAGGAAGCTTCACGGAAACTACTTGTACGCGCCGAGCCGTTGTGCATATCGCTTATCTGTGCAACGGTGACCGTTGTCCACTTTATCTCCCGTGCATCCATACCCCATACATTATGTCTTATTAAAACATTATTATAATTATTAATTACTATTTATTGTCTTTGTTTCTGTTGTACCATTTGCTTATATGTCAAATGTCTTTGTAGATTGTTCATGTTATCAGTGTCTTGTTTTTAATCGTTTCGGTATCATATTATGCTTCTTCGCTCTTATATGTTTCTCTTTTTTTCTGTTCATACGTATCAATTTGTTCTTTGCCACTTCGGCACCCGTATTTTTTGTTCTTTTGTCGTCGCCATTGCGGCACGATCATCGATTGAACTTACACTGTATCGTCGCTGGCTAATATAGCCACACATATGTTCAATAAATATACACTCCACCAACAATAAGTGAGTTCTTTTGTCTCTTATTATTATCTGCTCCTCGCCAACGCGTGTACGAGACATATTATATTGTACGTGTGCCATCACTCCGTCATTCCTGCGAGACCGTCGACTCTTTGTCGAATGCTGATAGTCGTTGCGAGCCGCGTACGCGGTCTTCACGTATTGGTCTCCCAGTCCGCATAAGTCCGCCAGCATCCGGCGTGGTGTGTGTGAGGCCGCCCTGGTCTACCAACTTGCTGCCCAGCTGCTGCGTAAGTCCGCCAGCACCCAATTGAGGGTGTGTGAGAGGCCGCCACGGTCGTCCAGTCGCGCCACTCATCGACGAATCTATCCACCCACTGCACCTGCCTTAATTTTAATTACCCTTAAGTAATAGTTAGTAAGAAATGCCCGATTATATGTGAGCCTCGTCGGTCATTGCACCACACCGAACTGACCAAGAGGACAACCCCACCCAATACTTATTAAACTGCTTCCGTCCTGTCATAACTTCCGTCTTTCCACCACAGGTTGCCGGTCCTACGTTTCAGGCAAAGCAAACGGTCTGATAAGTTGCCTACCCACTCAGGTTAAGGAGCAAATCGATCCTGTAAAAGAAGTTGTCTATACACCACCCCTTACGGGTATAAAGTGTCCCGTCCGAACGAAGTAGCACCTTTGTTCATTACACTACTTGAATAAAGAACCAAATATTATTAAACAATTAAGTAAAAATATTATGAAAAAAATCAATAATATACCTGAGGAAGTTATTAGGTGTATTGTACGTACTAGAACATATATTAGAATAAATAATTTAAATAAAGATGTTTTAAACAACAAGCATAAAAATAAAAATAAAACAATACAAAAATTTACGAAATAAATAAAAACTGGCTAACATTATTACTTATTAAGCTCAATAGTTTTAGTTATTTAATTATTTATTTATCTATGAATGGTTAAAAAAAATTGTTTTAAAATTCCAATAATTTAAATATTTGATACCTATTTTAAACCCAAAATGCAAAAACTTTTCCCAAAAATGTTGTATTTATTATTACATTAAAATCCAGTATCCACTGAATACTGATGTCTGATAAAGTGATCTTTAAACTCTGATAATAGGCGAAAGCCGGACGCCATTTTGATTAAAATATGCGTATCACGACGATTGCTGACATACCTATCTCATTTGTCATGGAAATCACTATATATTACATTATTACTGTTAATGTTAAATATGTTTCTTATTTAAAATAATATTTATATACATATAATATATTTATTATATTGTTTTTTTAATTCGAATAAGATACTATCGTTATCAGAGTAATCTGTGGTATTATCACAGAATAATATTTGAACCTTATCATCATAAGTTCACCATGTTCTGTGGTATCATAGAACAATATTTATATGGAAGCTATTACGTTTACGCACCAACATGATTTTAGACCCAAGGCTACCATATTATGAAAACGTAATTTTCGCGGGGTCGGGTTGTTTACCAATATTTAATTGATAATGTAATTTTGATACGTATCACGATTCACGGCTATATAATTTATTTGATACTACCTAGTACCTACTGGCTGCTTACTTATTTTCAACTATCTAGTCCTATTAGTCCATAATATTTAAGATCTAGTCTCTAATCTACTCAATACTCATTTTTAAACTGCATATACGTAGGCACTATGAGTTATGAGTTCAAAAAGTAGTAAACGTACATCATCTGATAATTCTGACATAGATGAGCCACTGCCTTCAACAAAAAGATGCACCACTCCGAAAAAAACCAGACAAATAAGAAATGAGTTAACCAAAGAAGAACGATCTAGGACTTTTAGGAAATTATTCAAATCATGCTTGGTTACAAGATGACAAGTTTAAGAATTAGTTGAAAGAAGATCCGTTAGATAAATCAAAGTGTCGTTGCATCGCATGCAATGCTACATTAACATGCGGAAAAAGTGAGTTGGATAAGCATGCGGCAGGTAAAAAACATATAATAAATCTTAAGTCTATAGTTAGTACAAATTCACTGAATACTTTATTTCAAACACCAAAAAGTAATCCGATAGAAAAAAAAGTAAAAACTGCTGAAATAAAACTGGCCAATTTTTTTATTGAACATAATGTTGCATTCCAAATTGTCGAATTTAATTCCTCTTCTTAAAGAAATAATAGATGATTCTGAAATTATAAAGAATGTAAAAATGCATAGGTTTAAGTGCACAAATATTATATCAAATATTCTGTGTCCTGTAGAGGTTGAAGAAATAGCTGAGGTTATTAGGAAAACTCCTTTTTCAATCCTAGTCGACGAAAGTACTGATATTTCAGTTCATAAATTTCTATGCATTCTCGTTAAATATGTTGACCAAAATACAGGAATGTTGCATACAAGATTGCTGGAACTAATTTCAACAAAAACATAGTAAAAGTACTAAATAGTAACTTAAACTTTAAAAATGTCACAAATGTGATACAGTTCATCATCATTGTCATATTCGCCAGCACAAGAACAATGTGCCCATTTTAAGCATGCCCTGCATTGAACCCAGCCTTCATTTGATTGCAAATAGGTGTTGCCACAGTACAGACATTCAACATCAGCATTTTTTACTTTCATTTTTTTTATTTTATTACGTTCTACATGTTCAGAAGTTAATCTTGGTAACATCTTGACATCTTCTATGTTGCTATCGATGTTATATAAATCAACAACATCATCCTAACTAGCTTCGTTTTGCTGACCATTTACTTTAAAGATAATATTTTTATTTAGCAAGTTATTTCGGATGCCTTTTAAAAGGCGGGGATTGTCATATAGATGAATTACGTTCAAATATTCAGTTCCAAATTTCACTTCATAAAATTCTTTTTTATGATTTAAGTTTTTTTTTAAATATTCTGCTTTCGTGTCGTTCTTTAGAATATTTATTGCAGCGGTATTAGTTGCTTGTAAAACGTTTCGTATTTGATTGGCTAGATCGTGACTAATAGTTGTGCTTTTACAAAAAGTGAATGATATACGTTGCTTGTATTTTTTAACAACTCCCCTAATCATAAACACTAGCGAATAGTTAACAAATTGTTGAGTTTTTGATATCCTATTGTCTTCAAATCCAGAAATTGAACCAGTAGAGTTATTGCATTGAAGATTAGCGTTGAGGCTTACTTCATCAAAGAGTACCACACAATACTTTTGCTTATTTGAAAGATTTTTAACATTTTCTTTTAATACCTTCATTAAAAGTGTTATCAATTCCAGTATCCATAGGTATTTTTGACAACAGATTTGTTAATGTTCTTTTACCAGGTAGAGTAAATAATTTAGACAATATTTCATAAGATTTTGCTCCTCTTTTATATAATGATAAACTCAACAACTTTTCTTCCATGGTAAATCTTCTACCTTTCACTTTGGTATTTGTTTCTCGAAGTTGTAATCTAGTGAAGACAGCTGAAGCTTTTGTCATATTACTGGTCAGTTTAGAATTAATCAATATGTCAGACATTTTTTCAGCAACACCAAGTCGATTTTTAAATTTGAGACATCTTTTTTTCATACAACGTAAATGCTTATGTAATATTACACTTTCTCTATACAATGATTTACATCTAGGAGTTAATTGATTGACTCGTTTAACACCAATTTTGCATAAAACCCCCAAAAAATCAAAATTGAAACAATTAATAAAAATGCATGATTTCTATAATTAAAATTTTAGACTTGCATATTATTCATAATATTATTATGTACATACTGAACACCATTTAAACAATATACATTAAAATAAAATATTAACCAGAAGTTTTCTTTCTTAATTTAATATTGTGTTCTTTAATAGAAACTTTAGCAACACTAGCAGCATCCTCAGCATTATAAACAACAGAACTACCATTAGCTTTTTCAACTACAGCAACATCACCAATATCAACATTCAACATCATAGCTCAATATACATGTTAAATTTAAGCATTAGCATAATTAAATTAAGAAGCAGGTATGTATTATAATATGTGCATTAACTCTAGAAGATTTGATCATTCATAAATACTTACGCAAGTCATATTCACTTTCATCATAATTAAGTACTTCAACACCTGATATATCAGACACAGGAGAAACACTACGCATAACTGTACTATTATGATTTACATTTTGAGGTACTATAAATATTAAATATATTAGGTAAGTAATAAATAAAATTTTTATTATTTTTATGTATTTTAAAAACATGTACAGGTACATAGTACTTACAATCAGTGTCAGAAGGAATTTGAAGTGTAGGAACGCTATTTCTTTGTAACATTTTTGTACCTAAGCTGTAACATGTAGGTGAAAAATGATTGGAGCATATCGTCGGCTACAGACGAAAACCTCGTAAGTCACTTTTATCAAATTTTTCAGGAACAGCAAAAAACTGTGACGTGTATCAAAATTACACAATTATAAATTATTTTCACTTTATTTGTATTCTATACTAATCATCTACTATGTATGTGTAAAATAATAAAACATCTTGATTTTTTTATTGAGAAATTTGAATTACGAGTTTTTGATTTTGAATTAATTTGACTTACGAGTTTTTAATTGTATGTTAATCGATTTACGAGTTTTTAATTTTACGTAAATTAAACTTACGAGTTTTTGGTGACATTTTAAATTATAATAAATTTAACTTTAAGGGAATTTAATAAGGAAATATTCTACAAATTAATTGAAATACATAATATTAAGTGCTGTTATATAATAAATATAATAACAGTATTAAATAAAAATAAAATATATCAACTAGATAAAAATATAAATTATTATATTATAAAACAATTAAATAAATCATCTTGATTTAATAATAAAAAATAATAATAATTAAAATAATCAACTGATAAAAAAAAAACAAAATTTAAAATAGATCACTTTTTGTTACTTTTAGTATAATGTAAATTATCATAAAATTGCCAAGTATGTTTTGGCAATACTTGTTTTAGTTCTTGTAGGTGTTTAAATTTTTCTTTTAATTTTTATTTCCTCCTTATACAAACTCTACTTTTTTTTCTGTTTTTATTAGGTAAAATTTCCCATTGGTCTTCATAATTTATTTTATTATGTATTATACATTCTGGGGTGTAGTCGCAGTGGCGCCGAACACGGGTATGAACTGGGGAAAATTCCCCAGAACTATTTTTGGGTGGGTCAGGTGGGTGGGTGGGTAATAATAAGTGATCAATAATCAGTGATATTTATATTTAAATATCATCATAGTACAATAATGGTAAGTATAAAGAATAGATAGGTAAATAGGTAATAAGTAATAATACTATAATAGTAACTACTAGCTATATAAGTACTATTGTACTAATAGTAGGTATAATAGTATAATAGCAGGTCGACAAGCAGTTGTAGGTATACGTATATCGCTATTGACGCTATTATAATGCAATCGTATATTCGCATACTCGTGTATATGTCAGTTGCCAGTAGGTAATGAAGATAATACGAAAATGTTGTTTTGTTTTCGTCAGATCATCAGAATTACGTTTATGTCATTATAAACACGATACGAGCTTCAAGACGCTTCGAGTTACTAGTTAGAGTGGACTGAGTGGTGGGTAGTTGGTGAAATAAACCAATAATGATTACGGATTCGCAGTTTATTTATAAACTGCCAAAACACCAATAACAGTAATAACACGTTAATACCCAAGATACAGATAATGGATTACTGATATGGACTAAAATTGTATTTAAAACTAATTGTGTAATAACTTTAGACCGTGCCCAATGGAAATCCGTCATAATATTGTCTTAATAGAACTATGAACCTACACTGGCTACACTAGTACACTACCACAGTACCGTTTATACAAGTTATACGATTGTTCTCTGTTAGTTCTGGTCTATCGTATAATGTAATTACTGTAATTTTATTATATTATATTAATATAATAAAGTATTAATGCTAATACAGTAATACCTACCTATTACCAATAATCATTTTTGTAAATTGTAATCAATCATGTCTAGGGCTGACGGTATTGAAAATAATTTTCGGTATTACGGTATTGATTTCAATACCGGTTTGAAACGGTATACCGTAAAAACCGAAATAATTCGGTATACCGTAAAAACCGAAATAATTCGGTATACCGAAAAACCGAAATAATTCGGTATACCGAAAAACCGAAATCATTCGGTATACCGAAAAACCGAAATCATTCGGTAGCAAAAAACCAAAATAATAAATAAAATCGAGTAGGTACCAACATGTTTTACTTTAATATATAATATCGTTTCATGAATAAACAACTAGTTTCATAAGCACCTAACTAGTAACACAAGTGGTTTTTTTTAACGGTCATTACCTGGTCAATAGTCAATAGACAAGCGGTGGCTAACATGGTAACATAAATTAAAATGCAAAGATACATCAAGAGCCAAAAATTTAATTCATCACAATAAATAATAAATGTTGGTTTTTGTTAATAAAACAAGTGCCATATGTGAGTAGTGACTATAACGAGAGCCACAAGTTGGCCACCCCTGCCATAGACTATATAGTTACCTTTTTAATTTTTTTTTTTTATTGTTTAACTGACAAAGCCGCTTTTGCAATGCATCCATGACGCCGAGATACCTATAAAACAATTTGGAGCAACATAGCCTGCCTAAACGGTAGATAAGGTACTCAAGTTCTACTACTGTTAAATTAACTTTTTTCTGCTGATGTCTTATAATAAACATTTGTCAATAATTTATTTTAAAGACTTAATATTACATTAATAAATTAAATTCTGATATACCGATTCAGCAATCAAATGAACATGGTAAAAATAAACCTGATAATAATCTAAAAACAGTTGATCAATTTATTAAATTATTACTGACTGTCCCATGTCACTATTGCAGTTAGTACTTAAAAAATATTAGTATATTCAATACAGAACATAAACAAATATTTGCTGTTTACCAGGTAGGTATATGAACAGTTCACCAGAAAATCAAGTTATAAAAATAGGTTTTAGATAAATGAATAAAATATATTTAATATTAACATAATTGTCATAATTATTAATATAAATAAAAAAAATTATAAAAACTAACAAGTTAGTCTAACTTATATAATAACGTCGCGTCTTGCGAAAGTATAATATTTTTTTTTTTTAAAACAATATAACGGCAGTTATAATTATTATATAGAATTATGAAACGCTCTATAAGTCATCACTTGGAAACAAACTTAGCATTCATGGATAAAAAAATTAGCTCTTCAGCATGGTCTAGAGACAGTGAGGATCGGTGATCAGTAATGACATTGCCAGCACAACTAAAAATTCGTTCGCTTGGCACACTTGTGCCTTGTATACACAAGTACTTTGTAGCCAACTTTACCACCGTGGGAAATTCGGACTGAAACGTTTTCCACTATTGTAAGGGATTACAATTTAAACCAACACTTGGCAATGATAAATATTTTTCAAGTTCTTTTTGATTCAAATCTTGTACTGTATTTGTTTCAACATGTATACTTGAAAGGTTTCCCAAAAATGCAGCCAATCCTATAATATTGTAAGCATTCAGTCAAAATTAGTTATACATTTTGTTTATTATTTCAATAATTATTAGACTAACCGCTAGTGTTTGTGTTTTTGTAGTGCTCATCAACTTCTGCTTGGTGTCCAATGTCGTCCATTTCTTGTTTAATTAAACTTATAATTAAATCTTTTTGAGGTGATTCAATGTAATGACTTCTGTACCTTGGATCTAGAAAACTTATTTTTTGTAACATTTGTCTTGCTTGATTACTATCATACCGTTTAAAAAGTGGTGTTTTAATTGCTGTTTTTATGTGACTTTCTAAGTGATTTTACATTGTGTCAGAGGAGGTATCACTACTGACACCTGCATAGTTGTCTTCATCACTGTTGTTAGCATCAACTTCATTAGTATTGAGGTAAGAGGTTATTTCACCAGTTGACAGTGTACATTGAGATGAAGTTTGAAAAAGATCTTCGGTATTACCATAATTACCATGATCTTCACCTTGCGTAAGATCACATGTATATCTTGGGTTACTGTTGTTTTTAAGTATAGATTCTTTAAGCTTTAAATAAATGGGCCATATTGAAGAAGCTGTCACTACTTGTTCAGAACTCATATGTTCTCCCAATGTTTTGAGAGGTTCGTACAGATTGCAGATTACACGTAGTATAAGCTTTTGCTCGTTACAGTTTGGGAGATATTTTATACTGTTGGATTTTAATTTGTATAAAACATCAAAAAGAGCCTCTTGTTGATCTCTTATGAATTGCAGTGCTGGTAAGCTTGTCCACCATCTTGTTACACAGGATGCAGGCATAACAATTTGAGGCAGGTTATGTTTTTGTTGAGCTTCTTTAAGTAATCTGCGCAGTTTAGAGCTGTAATGAAACTTAAATCTAAGTTTAGAAATTTTAGATAATAGTATTTGAACAGGCATTAATGACATTGACGACGTAACACAATTATTGAGTGTATGACCGAAACAACTAATACCGTTGATTCCTAATAGTTCAACAGCTATAATAACATTTGTTCCGTTGTCTGTTGTTGCCCCAGAAATTTTTGATATTTGAATATCCCAATCTACTAATGTCGATTCAATGATATCACGTATATTAAAAGATGTATGGTCAACATCTAAGCTGGTGCATGTTAAGCAATATGTTTGCAAAATCCAGTTCTTATCAATGTAGTGCACTGTTATTCCTATATATGGATGTTGTGCATTTGAAGTCCAACAATCGAATGTTAGAGCAAAAAATTCAGCTACACTAAGTTCTTGCCTTATTCTACATTTCACTTCATAATATAGAGCCGGTATTTTGCTATCAGAAAACACTTGACGACTTGGAACTTCATACCCTGGACACAGAACTGATATAAGATGCTTAAAACCGTTTTTTGACACTGATCAATATGGTTGCATATCAGTGGCTATCCAATATGCAATTGCATTAGTGTAGCGTTCACTTGTTTTTTTATCCAACTTCTTGTACAGAGCAGTAATTTTATTTTGCTTAAGATTCACACTTCTAAAAAATATAAATAATACAAAATAATAGGTATTTATGTCCATGATTATAATATCTACCTATTCATCAATAATAGTATTTACTTTGTGCATGCGATATAGATAAAAAAAAATTGTCATGTATGGTACCTGTTACCTACTTTATAATATTTTTCCTTTAAAACCTAAGCCCTATATAATATTTTTATCATTAAATTATTGACCTTGTTATTAGTACTTAGTAAATAGTATAAGCATTAATAAATTATATACAGTTTTATATACATTTTAATGACACAGTTCAGCTGGGAAAAGATTAATAATAAAAACTAATAAAATGTTTAAAAGCTACTGGCTGCCCCCGCCGAAGGTGGCCCTGTCTGAGAGTATAAAATATGTTCCTCTTACAACCATGGGTTTGCATATAAGATATTATTAATTATTATTAGGGCAGAGGACTTGTAGCATTTGCATATTTTTTTTACACAATCATAAAAATAGCAGAGTACGAAACAAATATGTTTCATGCTTTCACAAAGCTAGTATATAAATAGTACATAAAATAAACACAGATAAACCAAAACTTATTGTAACTATTGTAAGTTGTGCTTAAAATGTAAATAAAATATATTTATTAAAATAATAAAAAATTAAAAAATATTCATTTTAAAATGAATACCTACCTATTTTTAATGCATATTTTATATATTTAAGTGCATATTTGATGATTTTTTTAGAGCTACAAGTCCTCTGCCCTAATTATTATTTATATTAAAAAAATAAATTGTAACAATTTGTTTGTATTATCTACAAAAACTAATAATATTGAAATTGTGTGAAATAATCTTACACTGAAGAAGAAGGTAAAGTATTTGACGTTGATGTTGATGGTGATGATTAGAGCCCGGAATTATATTCTTTTAAAATAGCCAAAATAAGATGCTAATATTCTCTTAAAAAGTTGAAAATATTCTTCCAATATTCTTTAAAAATCATAATAAAATATGCCAAAAATATGCTTTTTTATTAATATATTCTCAATATGCAAAAAATATAAGCCAATAATAAAAAAAACTGATATAAATAGATACAAGGTACATAATATGCAAAATAATAAAATAATACAAAAATCTGATATAAATAATATATAAAATAGGTATACACAATAAAAAATACTTATTATTTTAAATTTTTAACTAAGAATATTTTTGGAAACAGTTGATAACTATATTTTGTTCCATGTGCTCCGGTGTCATACTTGTGCGACGGTCGGTCAAAATGTTTTTATATGTACTAAAAGAACGTTCGACGTCAACTGAAGTTACAGGAGCATATTGCAAATCAGTTATCATAGCCGGTGAAAAATTATCTATAAGTTGTACTTCATTATTCCCATTTAAAACTTTAGCTACGTTTTTTAAAATGATGAGCCCTTGATTTTTTTGTTGAAGTTGATCAATTTTAATTTTTATTTTATTTCCATTTTCTCCAGGTATTTTTTGAAGTTTACCAATTGTATTTTCAATCAGATTTATAGAATCAACAAGAGACACATTAGACTTTTCTAAACTTTTAATGGATGTTACCAGCACAAGAAAATGGGTTTTAATAAATATTAAATCGTTTTCTACGGTTTCTAAGTCAAAAACTGTTTTACATTTAAGTATAGACTGACTGGGAGAGTTTTGACCACTTAATTCTTCAATAACTTTTTTTAAAACTTGGAAATTATCACAATTAAATATAGCAGCTTCCAACCACGTTCCCCATCTGGTTAGTACTGGTTCAGGGGGTAACGGAGTATCTGGTAATATTTCTTTATACACTTGTACATGATATGGAGATTTTAGAAATACTTTTTTTATATTACTAATTAATTTATTTACGTCTGGATACATTTCTCTAACTCTTTCTGCAATCCTATTGAACATGTGAGCTACACATGTTACATGAATTAAATTGGGATAAAAAACTGTTAGTGACTGTCCGTTTTCACCATGTACGGCGCAGCATCTGAGAGCATCAACAAAACTTTTTCATCATTACCGCCCAAGGGCCACAGTAATTTTAACCCATCATTCACAAATCGAGCCACAGTAGAATGATTAGTCTTTTCTAAAACTTTACATGATAAGAGAAAAGAACGACACGTAATATTTGATTTTAATATCCCAACCAATAAATTCGCCACATAACGGCCATTTATATCCGTTGTCTCGTCAACAGCGAACCAAATATTATTATCTCCTATTTCATTTTTTATATTGGATAAAGTCTTATCATAACAATGTGATAGATAATTTTTTCTTAATAGACTTTCATCGGGTATATGTTTGCCAGTATATTTTTCTAAAAATGCCCGAAATTGTGGATTCTGCAATTTATACCACGGAATATTTGCAGCAACAAAACTCATACATAAATCTTCATAAAATTCATTAACATTTTTTTTAGAAGTCGATTCTGATAAAAACAATTGTTTTGAAGTGTTTAACTTATGCTTTAGAGCTTCTTGGTGTGAAGATGTATCTATATGTTGTGTTAACTGAGATTTTTTAATGCACGGTATATTTTTATTACACACTTGACAAAAAAGAGTTGTGCCATCAGTTGTAAAATTTATATTGTTTTTATTTAATGGTTGTATCCACTGTGAAATTAAAGTTTTTAATTTAGTTGATGGTGTTTTCGGCATTATTAACAAGTAAAAACAAGCGACTAATAAAATAAAACTAGATACTCTGTACTTATGTCAATACTACACGACACGCGACACTGCACTGTTGTACACGGGTACCGTACCTGTACCTCTAACGCTTGGATCTAGCTATTTTTGTGTAGTAATTCCATTTTTTGTCGGCATTGTTATCTTAGATAAGTCACTTATCTTATGCACTATTGCAGTATATTACTACGTAGTAGGGTATAACAATCGTAAATACGATGGACGATGGTATATACATGTATAGTATATTTTCAATATCATATCAATATTATCGGACATACTATAATTTATATTATTTACGTCCCTGCAACCAAAATATCGAACATCTATATAAATTCATCGATATATTCTCTAATATTCTTTATTATACTAAATATTCTTTTATCTTAAAATATTCTTAAATATGCAAAAAAAACTTTTGCCATTAATACACCGGTTTCATGATTCGTAAAGATTTCGAACCCCCGTCTGACTGCATAGCCTCAAAAAAAATATGCAAAAGAATATAATTCCGGGCTCTAGTGATGATTCATAATCAGTTTGACTCTGTAAATCAGTTTGTTGAGTATTAACTTCGTCTTCGTCAGTTTCATCAACATTATCACTAATAAACCAAAAACAATGTAATAAAATATACAATATTTATAACATATTTAATTGCAGTTTAAAAAATATAAAGCAAGTGTAGATCATAAATGGTTTATGATTATTATCCATACTTTGTAACAAGAGATTTGATATTTTTGAACTCCAAATGAATGTTTGGGTGGTGAGACCTCAGATGGGATATTAGATTGCTTGTATTCCCACCTTTAGCTTCAAACTGTTTTTTACACTTATTACATTGGCCTTTATCTTTATTAATTTTACTAAAGTATATCCAAATTTTTGAACGCTGCTTGGCCATATCTGAAAAACAATTTGATAGTATTTCAAAAATATCTAATTTATAAGACGTATAAACGTAATACATACATTCAATAGAAAAACATGTTAACTTCCTATATAGCTTTAGATAATTGAACCGAAGTTCGATATTGGAATCAATTGAGAAGTATAGACGTATAGGTAATACAAATGGTGGGATGTAATGGAAATGCCGAAATTATTTTATAAAATTATAAAAACAATGAGTCTGGGTTACTTACCTGTAGTTACCTCCAACGACAGACGGATGGACTTGCGAAAGATACGTACTAGGTACGTAGGTACAGGTGAATGCTTGAACTTTGAAGTGCACGAACGGACACACACAAAGGACGATTGTCAAACATTGAAACACAATAATATGAAACCAATAACGAGAAACACAACTACAGGCGGTGCCGACGTTTTACTCAACAGTCAACAGCCAACAATCATAGTTATTTTATATAGATGATAAGGACTAGAATTCCCAGTACTAAAAATGTAGGTAATTTTATAAATAGAAAAACGTCCTCGTGTATATAATCGGGTTCAATGGTATACCACATATACGGTTTTCAACGGTATACCGTTTATCAAAATAATCTCAAAAGACCGGTATTTCTAAATACCGGTATACCGGTATTAACAGTATACCGAAAATACCGTCAGCCCTACCTCGTGTATAAAATCGGGTTTCAACGGTATACCGCATATACGGTTTTTACGGTATACCGTTTATACGGTATTTTACGGTATACCGTAAATGACGGTTTTCTACGGTATACCGTTTATCAAAATAATTTTAAAATACCGGTATACCGGTATTAACGGTATACCGAAAATACCGTCAGCCTAACCTAACCTAACCTAACCAGCACCAAATTCAACTGAATTGTCTGAATTAATTGTAAAAAAACACGATCTGGCAAGTATATTAACTATCAATTATAATAATTAATAACTATTAACTATTAGTTTATATTATAAGTAATATATGTAGTAATATGGCCTCTTTAGGTTTAGGTACTTAGTGTCTTAATATTTTTTAATACTAAGTAAATTTCTCTACAGTTATAATATAACTAATAATTTAATATGGTGTTAAATAGAGGAAACATTAAGTACTCCCAAAGAAAATGATGACTTTAATGAAGAGCAGTTACCTGTTGTTTCCAAATTAAAAGGTAAATTTAAATCATTTTTTTTGTCAGATGACTACTATAATATTATATTCTTGTAATTCCTTTAGTATAATAATTTAGTCCACAGAAAATAAAAATATTAAAAATACTTAAATATTTACATTAATATTATGTATATAAGTAGTATTTTTATTTGTAAATTTTTCTACACATTGTTATAAATTAATTTATGACTATTTAACTATTTATAAATATATATAGATACTAAATTTTTTACAGGCTTGTATGAAAATTTAAATGAAAATGATCCTGTAAGATTTTCTGATATGAACAAGAAATTTACATTTGAACAAAAGCAGTATATTTTAAAATTAGGACCTTGCCAACCAAGTGCTCAAGAGATGCCTTTCTATAAATTTCCAAAAACCAATAACCTTAGTTTTCATGCCAAATGGTATACCAAAACATTACCCGATGGATCTGTAGGAACTCGTAAATGGTTGTCATATTCTATATCAAAAGACAAAATATATTGCTTATATTGTATATTATTTGGGAAATATCCTAAAAAAGCATGGACTAATTATGGTGTTTTTCGCTGGAAAGATGGAGTCTTTAGGTTAGCTTCACACGAAACTTCAGTAATACACATTGCCGCTTCAATTGATGCAACAATTCAGGAACAGTGTTCCCCGTTGTTACCAGCATTGAAAGAGAAAAAAAAATTGAAGTTCAAACCATTAGGATTATTATAAAACAACTCGTGGACATAACATTATTTTTATGAAAACATGGATTAGCATTTAGAGGACACAACGAAAAAAGGTCTGATGCTGTTAGAGGAAACTTCAAAGATCTCGTTATTTTGCTAGCCGAGTATTCGCCAGTTTTGTCCTCCTATATAACCCAATTAAAAAAAAAAGGAAAACATATGACATCTTTTATTACTTGGCAACGACAGAACCAACTTATTGATTCAATCTCAAATTCAATTTTAAAATCAATTGTACAAGAAGTGAATACTGCTAGAATATTTAGTATATCAATAAATACAACATTCGATATATCAAGGCATGAACAAGTATCTTTTGTAATTCGATATACCGATGAAAGCAAAGGTAAAATTGTTGAACGTTTACTTATGATCTGTACTACTTCATCCACTAATAGTCAGACCCTTTATAGTATTTTTCTTAATATTTTTGAGAAAACCAATATTGATTGGAAAAATAATTTGATAGGTCAATCCTATGACGGCGCAGCTAATATGCGAGGCGAATACAACGGTCTACAAGCAAAAATTAAAAGTGAAAATAATCAAGCTATTTATATCTGGTGTTGGGCACATCGTTTAAATTTAATTGTTGAACAAGGTGTTAAAAGCTGTCTTGAAGCTGTTGATTTTTTTGGGATTTTGGCCAAAGTATATGATTTTATATGTAGTAGCAAAAATCGTGTATTTGTTTTTGAACAAAATCAAAAAGAATGTAATCCTACATGGCCAGTTCGTAGTTTGAAGCGTGTTACTACTACACGATGGAGTAGTCACTCTACAGCATTAAATACAATTTTAATCACATGGGAAGCTTTAATTGATACACTTGAAGATCTTCATAAATCTGAATCTTCATCTGACGCATCAACATTTATTGAATATTTTCAGACTGAACGATTTTTGTACACTTGTTTTGTATTTAAAAGAATATTTGGTTTATTAGATCCATTAAGTAAAATACTTCAAGCTATAGATACAGATCTTATCATAGCGTCAGAAATGATTATATCTAAGAAAAATCAGTTGTTGAAACTGCGAGATGAATTTGATTCAATTATTTTTGAGGTAAACAAATTTATTGAGGTTCACAGTGAAGAAAATTTCACTTTTACTCCTTTATCCCAAAAACGTCATAGGGAGAGAAAACGTATGCCGGGTGCACAAGCATCGGATGAGCCAACAACTGATCCTCTTAATAATTTTAAGTATCACACATTTTATATTGTAATTGACATTATAAGTAATGAGATTGACAAGAAATTTAGTGAATCATCATTATCAGTTTTTAAAGATTTATCACTTATAACAAAAAAAAGAATTTTAGAAATAAAAACTGATAATCATAAAATGCCAAATGATGCATTTGAAAGTATATCTTTAATTTATCCAAACTTTTTAAATGCTGAATTATTAAAAACTGAATTCATGTGGCTTGTAAATTGTTTTTCTGATTTAGAAAAAACTTATCATTTACCTGAAAGCCTTCATAAGACTTATCTAATATCTGATGATGGCGATAATAATGATGTTGAATCTAGTTCTGGAGATGAAGAAGAATCTATAATATTACCTAGAAACTCTATGAATATTAGCTCACTATTATATATATTTCAGTTGTTTACTGATTCAAGTATAAAATATGTATTACCAAATATTTATATGTTAATTAAAATTGGAGTCACATTGCCAGTTTCAAGTGCTTCTACAGAACGAAGTTTTTCAAAATTAAAACAAGATTACGTTCGACTATGGCAGAGCCAAGATTAGAAGGATTGATGCGCATAGCATGTGAACAAGATATACCAATAGACAAAGAAAATGTAATAAATACATTCGCAAATAACAGTAATCAATTAATGAATTTGTTAATTTAGAATTAATATGATATAATATTTAGTAAACCTAATACATATTATATTATTATTACTATTGTTATTTTTATTTATTGATCTATTTTAGTATATTAAGTATACATTTATGTTTGTACATTATATTTTTATTTCGAAAATTATACTATGTAATTCAAGTTGAATTTATTCAGATAGATATTCTCTAATTTTTTAGTTATTATTTAAAATGTAAAATCATTGATTTTGACAGGAAAATTTCATATGCTTATAAGTATAACATATTTTTTTTATAGTTTAAGAAACTAATTATTATAATATAATGTTATCGTTCATTTTTCTGATGCTTGTGTATTGTTGACGTTTAAAAAAATATAGTTTGTATATAATTAGAAATAAATAAAGTACTATTTGAGAGTAACTAACTATTTATATTTTAGTAGGTCGTAGGTGGGTGGGTGGGTCTAACACTAATATTTTTTCCCCATAACATGAAATATAGATCGGCGCCACTGCTTGAGACACCTAATATCAGTGACTGTATGGTCACCTTTGCCCTTTGCCCAGGTCTAATAGATGTGTAGTATTTCAATGATGTATAATCATTAAAGCAACTGAAATTTAGATATTTCACTCTGTATGGAGTTTTAATTCTAGCATCTCTGCATACATTAATATAATCAGTTGGTAGATGGATTTCCCTTTTTCTAAGGCGCATTTCTATCGTGTGATGAACGCTGTCTACCTACATTTGGGTATGGCCTTTCTCTAGAAAATTCTGTGTGATTTTTACCTTATCGTTGGCGTAGCGCACAAGTGTGATAAGTGACATTTTTTTGAAAAATGAGTTAATCAATTTAATCATACAATTCTGCACATTATGCCCAAACGTTGTAATTGAATAGTTCATTATTTACTCCGATAGATGTCGTACAGTTCGTTACATTTTTGAATTTGTTATAACATCTCAAACTTAAAAATCGTTCTCCTGAACAATTACGAAAATGTCACTTATCACACTTGTGCGCTACGCCATCGTTATGATCAATTGAAAATTGTAATAAAGCATTTGATACAACTATATTGCGGTTTTGATAACCACAACTATCACTAAACAACGATATTTTACTTATGGTAGGAGTTTTTTCAATAATATTATTTAAATAGTCGATTATCAATGTGGCAAAAATGGACGACTCCAACCCTCCATTGGTTTCGTCCCACAAATAGCAGCATACATCTGCTGTGGACTGATTGAAAATTGTATAGTTGTGAACACACAGTTTGGTCTTATAATACATGGATGAAGCTCGAATGAAAGGAGCCAATTTGACAACTTGCACATCCATTGTCAAGGAAACATGTTCGTTAGGATTATTAGCATTTCTAGCATCCGTTTTTTTTTTTGGTAAACATTATAAACATCTTGTTTAATATTTCCATACTTAAAACCCTCACATAAATCACACAAGTCTTTCTTAGGAGAATAAAGTGCTAGATTTCTTTCCTGAAATTCTGAATAAATCTCAGTTTTGCTAACTGCTGTTTCATCACCTTGTAAACTAGCTACATAAGCCTTAAACACGGATACTTTTGACTCAAAAAATAATTCTAAATACAGTTTATTAGTGTTTGATCTGCAATAATGGGAAGGCAATTTAGGCAAATTATCAAAGAATCGTACCATTCCTTTATTTTTATTAGGTTTTCTCCCAACTTTGGATATATTTTTTTGAAGATCAGGGCTAATAGTTATTCCACTACCATTGCAAGAATTAGAAATCCAGTTTCTAACAGACCATTCTTTCAGATCTGGTGTCTGAAGAAACATTTTTTTGCATACTGGCAACACTTCATTTTCTATTTTTTAAAAATATTTTATAGTTCTTTTTCGGCGAGAATCATTGTTCCCAATTGTGTTAACTTTGGTAGGCTGTATAGTACATAAAGTTGACACATAAGTCCTCCTTTCGCTCCATGACATGTCATTCCAAAATGTTTTAAATAGTTTTTCTCTATCCTCTTCTTTTATAAAAGGGCATTTTCTAGATTTAGAATTTATTATACAAAAAGTAGAATTGCATCTTGGCCTTATTTTTCTTGCAGATTTACATTCAGAAAAGTGAAATTTGCCTTCATCATTTTTTTTAGTCCTTTATATGATTGACCTCTCATTCTCAATATTTTGTTTTTGTTTTTTTGCCAACAAAGTTCATCACCTGCTTCATATTTCAATTTCCGTTTTGCATTCACAACAATTTCTTCTGAACCACAATCACCAGTTTCTATCACTATATCAATACCATTTTATTTTTAAGTTAATAAATAATATTATCATCAATATTGTAGACTTTATCTAACAAAATTGCTTACCTTCAATAGTAGGAAATTCATCAATATTATTACTGGCTTCAACTACATTTTCAACCTCAAATTCTAATAAATATCATAATTTACATAATATAAGTTAAAATAAATATTAAATAAAAAAATAAAAAATCTGTATGTAAATCAAATAGCCTTATGTATTATTATAATATACCTTCAACAGTAGGAAAATCATCAATATCTTGACTATCTTCAACCACATATTTTACAGCCTCAAATTCTAATAAGGATCATAATTTTACATAATATAAGTATAAATATTGTATAATATTAATTATTTTATAAATCGAAGAGCTTTAAATAATTATGTACCTTCAATAGTAGGAAATTCATCAATATTATTATTGGCTTCAACTTTATTTTCAAACTCAAATTCTAATAAATATCATAATTTACATAATATAAGTTAAAATAAATATTAAATAAAAAAATAAAAAATCTGTATGTAAATCAAATAGCCTTATGTATTATTATAATATACCTTCAACAGTAGGAAAATCATCAATATCTTGACTATCTTCAACCACATATTTTACAGCCCCAAATTCTAATAAGGATCATAATTTTACATAATATAAGTATAAATATTGTATTATATTAATTATTTTATAAATCGAAGAGCTTTAAATAATTATGTACCTTCAATAGTAGGAAATTCATCAATATTATAACTGGCTTCAACTACATTTTCAACCTCAAATTCTATCAAGTGTTATAATTTTACACATCAACACAAATAATATAATATTAAATATAATAATATAAAACTTAAAAATTACCATAATCCTCATCTGAACTAAAAGCATTATTTAAGAGCTGTTGAATTTCGTCGTCAGGTAAAAGAGACATACCTACTAGGTAACTGAATTATTATATTATAACTATGTACCTACTCTTATTTATTTTACAGTAAGTAGGTACCTAAGTAGTAATATTGTAACTACACCTAAGATAATAATATAATATTAGAATACAAAAAAACTTAAAATTAGCTTAGTGTACATTATTATAAACACTGTTATGGTGATGAATCATCACATTTAACATAACAAAATAATATTATTATGGAGTTCATATTAATTAATAATAATTTTATAGTCGAGTTACGAGGTTTTGATAGTCGAGTTACGAGGTTTTGATATTGATAGTGTGGTGACTTCGGCGCTTATCACCACTTTGCTCTCACCGACCGAGTTACCACCCGCTCCGCGGTACCAACCATATTTATATTGTCATTTGTGATTTATTTTATATTCGTTTTATTTTTACAACTTCTGTGATTTTTATATATTTATGTTCCCACGCTAATCGATCTCGCGTCTCCGATTGGCGACGCCATCTCTGTCGTCCCCGACGCTCACGACGCGGCCGTCCGACCGGCCGGTATCGTTCTCTTTGCTCACCGCCCTCGACCGAGCCACACGTACCGAGTATTTCGCTCCCGACCCGACGCCATGTTTCGACAACCGACGAGCCGTGTTACACTTACACGACCCGTAGGGTCCCCGTACACGACCGCTCGCCACGGCCACCGAAATCATGCCCGACTCGCCTACGTACCGACGCTCGCTCGACCGCGCGCGCATTGAGCACACACCCGACACCGTCGACCTGAACGATCATGCGTTCGACCCCAAATCGTACCATCTATCGTCGTACTGCGTACGACCACATATTTATATTTTGGTGTCTAACAATAAACGACTTTCGACGCAACCGCGTCAATCAACGACATTGTGTGTTCCTTTCATTTCAAATACCTAAACTTGTGTACCTAACCTCTCTGCGACGGAGTCCAGAACGAACGCATGTTGATACAGTGCGGGGCAACCCCACTTGTACCACAATAGTATTGATACGAGGATTTGTTATTGTACGATATCTACTGAAATTAGCGGGAAATAATTGATATTATAATATCAAAATGTGCTCAAAAAAACAGTGCATCCAATAGATAAAAAAAAAAAAAAAATGAAAATTTCGACTTACGAGGTTTTCGTCTGTAGCCGTCGATATGCGTTTTATATAATAAATTTGTTCTGGGCTTAAGCCATGAAACTGTTCCGACCCAATAACTTTAACCCATTCATTCAGAATTGCTAAAAACAATTTTGGATTTGGAAATCAATGAGACATTTCTCCTGTAATGATAATTAATAATGTATGTTACAGTATTATTCTTTTGTCATTTGCTTAATACTAACCAATTGTAGATAGTGTAACGAGCTGTGACTACGTATATATTAATAATAGTAATAATACAGAGTGGGGCACTATAACGGCCGATTTTCTAAGACAAATTATAAAATAAAAAAACGAATAAAAATGAATTATTATTTATTATAATGAAGTACATAACTTGCCATTTATTTTTTAAAAATGATGTCTTCAAGTTGATGGCCATCTCTTCTCAAACACTCTTCTAGCCTATTTCGTATATTTTCCACTACACGGCTCTGACAGCAGTGACGTTTTCAGGTGTGCGAATGGTTTTTTGTCGTACAGGCTTCTTTTTTAATGCTGAACTCGTTTACACCAAAATTAAGAAAGTACATAACAATTGCATCTTAATTTATACTTATATATAGTTGCTTTATGTGTATAATAAAATTGGTTATGGTCTATGGACTTATGGTCAA